GGTGCAGAAACGCACATCGCCCAAATGTACTTGGCCACGTGCGACACCTGCCCCCCCCGGCCCCCCTTGCTTGAATGGTTGCCTGGCCGTCTGGCCCTGGGATGCTTCATATGGCGCCCGGAGGCGGGCGCCAACTGCAGCGAGCAGACAGGGCTCCCGCCGTGGGGCGCAATGCCCTTCAGCTTATGGGTCACACGGAAGTGGAACGCAACATGGGCCTGTAGGAGGTGCCTCGCTATCATCTGGAACATCGCCCCGGGCGCCCTCGACCAAATACCCGACCGCTACTCTGACGAGGTGCGCCCCGCCACCCCCGCAGCGCGACAGGCCACAACCGACATTCCCGAGGACTGGTGCAACTACGACATGACGGCGCACCTCTCCCCAGCCAACCAGGCCTCGGGCACAGGCGCTGGCGCGCTGGTCCCACCGGGCGACGATCAGTCGGCACTGCCCCCAGCAGCCCACGAACAGAGGGGGTCGGCCGACGGAGCTACCACCCCTTACTTCTCCCCCAACTAGCCGCCGCCCCCTGCGCCCCAGCTGCCTACATGCACCACCCGCCGGCTGGCAGGGGAGGAGTCGAGAGCCCCCGTTCGCGCGTTAGTGAGGTACCTGATAGAGTGGAGCCACACATCCTACACCCTCTGGGGGGCCTATGTACAGCGACGGGGGAAGGATATAGTGGGCGACGCGACCGACGAAACGGGATGGCCCTTCGAGCAATTGTTGCACTTCTGGATTCAATCTACGGAGAGGAGACCCCCTGCAACGGCCACCCCCCGAACATCCCATGGGACGGAAAGAGGGCTGCTGCAGCCAGGGTTGTCACGCGCCTGGTGGATAGCAACCCAAGGTGCAAGAAGGAATGGGTACTCTACGCTGGCAACCTCGACAATCAGAAAGGACAGTGCCCCCACCGTCAGCCGATGCACGTCTTCATGCAGTTCCTCACGGAGCTGGAGAAATATCTCGCCAAAGGGACGATCGAACTTCTCGCCGCCCAACCACAGGACGTGACGTCCAGAGGAACAGAAGAGGAGTCGCCCGCTGCCAGCTGGCTCAGCAGGCCCCAGGAGAGGGCGGAGCTGCCCACAACCGACAAACGCGCGGAGGAGCACGACGCCCCCCCGGCCTGTGCCAGCACCTTCCCCCGGGAACCTGACGCGCCTGGCCCGCCCCATGGGCCCCCCGAAGAGGTGCCTTCCTCATGTGAGCACCCGAACGGCGACGGCAGCCCGGAAGGCATTGACTGGGATGACGACGCCAAGAAGAAGTCCGAGACGGACGACAGCCCGCCAAGTTCCCCCGACCCTGAACAACAGGACGGTTCTGCGCACCAGGTTGATGACGCAGACACACCAGCACGCACCTACCCGACGGCGGCCCAAAGTTCCCCCCCCGCTATGGACCCAGCCCCCTCACAGGGCTGAATCCGCACACTGGTCCCCATTTGCGCGGGCGTCAGATCAGAGGCACCGCGCGACACATGGAGGAGGAACGAAGCCCCCCCCAGTGAGGGACGAACCTGGAACGATCGCATCGGTGACGGCCGTTCACTCAGACAATCGGGGAGCGAAGCAGGCCGCCGACCACCCGCGATCGTTGAAGACCGCAGCAGAGAACACTCTGCCACGCCACCCCTCAGCTCACCCAGGCAGCGCCACAGCTCACAGGGATGGCGGCGCGATGCACAGGCAGCAGCAATCCCACCTGCGCGCCGAGACGACCCCATGGGTGGCCCCCCCATGTACCTGGGGCCCATCGGCGACGTAGACGCCACAAGGGACGAGCCTGCACCAGACAAGATCACGCGAATGCAGAGAATGCTGGGGGGGGGGGGGGGGAGGGGGTGCTTTCAATGGGGTGTGGGGCGCCTGGGTCAGCAAGGCGGCGCGCAAGCAAGGGTCCTCCTGGGTCAACGTCAAGTCTGACCCCTGGCGGAACACGCCACGGCAGTGCGACGACTCCCTCCGGGCATGGAGCAAAGTGGGATACGACGCCTACAACATTTACAGCGAGTACAAGCTCCACGTCGACTGGCCAAACGTCATGGAGAAGCAGCGCAAACACGCGCAGCGCGACAATAGAGCGCGCGCAGTGGAGCCCCCCATCGGAAGTGGAGGCAAATACCTGTGGCCCAATGAGGGCCAAGAGGTTGCAAAGCATCCCCCGTGGGCCTCCGAGGGCAGAGCCGCACAGACAGGTGCATCTGGATCTGCAGCCCCTTGGCGTTCTTGGCAGTCCTGGGGCGCGCGGGAGCCTCATCGAGACACGTGGACCGACGCAGACTGGAACGCCAGGGGGGGGCGGTCCTCCCCCAGAGGAGATGCCCATTACGCGGACAAGCGTCAGCGCGGGTGGGATTTTGACCCCACGTGATCGCGACGTGGCCCTGACGCAGGCGCCAAAGTACCCCCCAGGTCGGAAAGGTCGGAAGGGTCTGCCCGCCCGCGCAGGGCCCTTTCCACGGGCTCGCCTCACGCAGCCCCCTGCCTGCTCATCGGGCCCCAACCCGGGTCCTGAGAAGGATGGCCCACGTAGCCTATCTGTGGCTCAAGCCCTTCTTCACCCAACCATGTCAATTCCCAGGGTTGCCACTCGGACTGTCATGTAGCGTAACGCTTGCTTTTTGGACAATGACGACCTGGGGCAACTGGGAACGGCCTCCCCCGCCCTCTACAAGGTTGTTTCCATCGCGTTGACGTTGTGGGCTATCTGGGGCCCCTCCGTTCCAGGCGGCGCCCGCGGGGTTGGCAGCCCCATGGTCCTCACCCGGCCCTTTGCTGCGCACAGCGAGGCAGGAGTGGACTGATGTACGATGCTGGTCAGTCCCCTACAGTTTAGATCCCGCATGGGCGCCCCCCCCGGGCAGGGATTGATTTCGCACCAGCGCCAGGCCTCGGCCTTAATACCTCCGTGCGCTTCTTTCGGGGCAGAGGTGCACCAATACCCATGCGCTGTGCACTAGACAGCCCACGCTGGTCTCGCGGCACCCTTCGCAGGCGGGTGACGGCTGAAATAACCCACCACCCGTGTGCCACTGGGACACCCTCTTTGTCCCCTTGGGACACATGCTTTGGCTGGCTGGGGGGGGTTGGCCATAGGCCCACCCCGCGCGCCACGCCTGACTCCGGCGCGTTGCACCTCGCGTGCTTACCCCCGACGTTGCGGCCCTGCAGCTGGGACACGGCGCCCCCCAGCATCTCGGGCGCCCTGTTCCCCCCGTAATCGAGGTCCTCCCCGTCGCGCGGTGCGATCACAGCGGCCTGGGTCTCGCTGCGCTCGCTGTGGCGACGCCGCCCCCTCCTCCGGTCATTCAATTGATTTTGCGGCTATCGGCTGCGTTTCCTCCCCCCCCCCTCTCCTCGTCCTCTTGTGGATTCGGCCGCGCGCGACTTCCCCCCCGCCGAGGCCCGCGGAGCACCCGGCTCTATGCGCCATCTGGCGGATCTCCAGCGCTCCGTGGTGAGGGCGGGCCGCGCTGCCACCTGGCGTTGCTCTGGCTGCTCGGGCCCCTGCCTGCCCCGGCACCGCCGGGGGCCGGACCTGGAGTGAATGCGGTGCCGCAAGTGGTGCGCCCTTTGCTCGGTGACGTTCCCCCCTTCTGGCCCACCGCGGCCCCCGACTGCCGCGTGCCGCTTGCCCCCCCCGCCCGCCGCGCGGGGTAAGCTGCCTGCGCTGTTCGCCGACGCGTGAGTCACCCCTGGGCGGGGGCCATCATCGTGCTCCTGGCACTGCTCAAGTGGTTCATCCTTTGACTGTACTCATGCTTTCCTACGGGTTGGCCCATGGTGCTCGGCCGCACCTGCTGCCGTTTCCCCCGTCAACCCGGGCCAGGCAGTCGAGGTGCAGACTCTGCGGCTGTTTCGACGTCAGTACAATGGTCGTTGGCTCAGGTCAGTTAGCGCCCAGGAGTCCAAGTGAGTGAGGCTTACCTGACCACCCCTCTTCTGCCCGCGCTTTCCCACCTCTCTCGCCTCGCAGTGGCGAGCGGCGCGGCCTCACGTGCCCGCCGTCCTGCCACTTGGCTGCCCTGCCCCAGCCTGTGCTCTGTGAGCTGGATGGCTTGAGCTGGCGCCGCTGTGCGACCCCTCTCCCTCTATTTCTGTCTGGTGCTTGCTTCCCCTTCGCGGGTGGCTCGCCGCTTAATGAGGGGCATTTTGCCTCTTGCAGGTGTACCTGCTTCTTTGGCCTAGGCGCCTTCGTTACTAATTATCTCGCCCTGTGCCCCAGACGCGCTTGCCCCGCTTCCTGGGCTCTTCCTTGGAGCCGCCAATCAAAAAAATACCCCCACCAGCTCATCCAGAAACGATCAACAGGGGAGTTGGTGAATCAGGGGCGGCAGGACGCATGCAGTCGCGCAGCCGTGTCCGAGAAAACAAGTACGATGGTGCAATCTACGATGGTGCTTCGATGAGGGGTGAGGGGTGTTTCGATGACTCGTGATGGCTGTTGCCCTGATATGTGTCTGAAGCTCGCGTGCGTTCCGAAACTTGGAGGCATCTTGAGGCTCTCTTGGGATTCTCTTGGGCCCCTCTTGGGGCCTCCTGGGGCTGGATGGACTGGTGCGGGGGCGCGAAAGAGTGGAGCATTCACAACGGGCACGATGGTTCCACACCCCGACGTGGCTCCAGAACCCGGCGTGGCTGGACAAATTCCGGTGCGAATTCAGACAGCACGGGGACTCCACGCATGCCGGCGGTTCCCCCGGGTATCGTTGCTGGATAGACTGGTGCGGGGGCGCGTTACAGTGGAACATTTACAACGGGCGCGATGGTACCACACCCCGACGTGGCTGGACAAGGCGCGTTGTTAAAGGCACGTGTGCTCAACCGCGCCGTCGGATCGTGGGGAACAACGGCCGGCCTGCGAATTGTCTGGTATGGATCACGATGGCGATGCTGTTGTTTCAAATGAAAATGGTGGTGATGATGATAGTGATGGTGGTGATGACGATGATGTTGACAGACATTCTGAAAATAATGTCTGGCAGTCGCTCACGCGACGGGCGCCGGGGGCGCGGCGGCTGCAGCGTACGCCGTGGCCTGCCCAATGACAAGCCTGGCGAAACAACGCGGGCAATGCGGCAAAGTCGCCGCCGGCTTCGGCTGTCTCACATTGAAGCGAAAGATCTTCAAACGCCGCATAAGCATCGAAGCTTCCGTGTCGAAGGGTTTCCCGGTCGCGGGGTTCGGTTGCGCTGCAGCCTCCAGGGCGTCTAGGTCCGCCAGCGTGGTCGTGATGAAAACAGGGGCCGAACCTTTGTGCAAGAAGTGCCCAGAACACCCTTTTTCATTCTGGGGCCGGCTCAGCGGCAATGCGCCCCCGTCGAACCGTAGCTGCTGCAATGGGCAAGACGCGATGTCTGGATTAAACCGGTACTCGTCTAAGAAGCACACCTTCGCCTCTGGAAGGTGCAACAAAGGGGGATTGCCCGTGGAAGGCGCTGGGGAGACAGCGCGGTGGGTCGCGAAGACGTTCAGCAGAGCCCTCAGGAAGATGCTCTTTCCCTCGCCGCCGACGGATCCAGCCAGGACCACCATTGGGATGGCGGGGGGGCGGCCCGCCTGCATGGCGACGTGGATATCGTAGCAGAGCTCCGCCAAGGGGACACCGTTCGCCACCATGCTGGACGTCGCGTAGGACAGCCACTGGCCCCTGCAGACGCAGTCGCCCCTGGCGGCGGCGGCCTTCGCCTCGAGGCGCGTGGCCTGGCACTGCTGCGCAGTGCTGTCGTCGATCTCCTCCCAGGCCCAGATATCGTCGATGACGCTGTTCAAAGTGTTCCTGCGATTGAACAAGTACTCGACCATCGCCTGCCCAGCGCGCTGCTTCGCGAACAGCGCCAGTTGCCGGTCCGCGGCGCGGTCGTCCGGCGTGTTCCTCGCGCCAGACCGGGCCGCGAGGGCCCAGACGTCGCCATCCGTCAGGCGACCTGGCTCCTTCCTCTGCTCCGCTGCGACGCTGTCGGCGCGGAGCCTCCTGGCAGTCATGGCAGCCGCTGTCGCCGGCTCGCGCGTGCTGTCCAGGATGGCTGGGTGAGGCTTCTCGCCAGGCGGGGCCCAGAGCACTGGGCGCGGGTCCAAGGCCGCCGCGGGCTCCTTCGGGGGCGGCGCCAGTCCGCAGTACCGCACCTTGCGCGCCCGAGTCGCTCGACTCGAACCGACTCGCGCAAATCACTCGGTTCGATCCGACTCGGTTCGATCCGCCCTCGCGCAAATAGATCGAATCGATCCGATTCGGTGCGCTTCGCGTCGCAGAATCGACCAGGCCTGGTTCGAGCAAATCGGAAGGGCGACGCTCGGCGCCGCGCAGGTTGCCAGTAGCCGCTGAAGCCTCCCTTCCAGTGGGACGCGAGCCCGCGCCGCGCCAGCAGCGCCTTCTTGATGGGCAGGAAGCGCACGCTTCCGCCAAACTTCACGGCGAGGTGCCCGTGCTGGTGCTGCTCTCGGCTGTCTGGGTCGGGGCGGTGGTACTCCTGGAAGTAGGCAGCCAGCCTGGGCAGCGCTGTCTGCCCAGCGGCGCGCCCTTGCTGGGGCCGCACCGGGTTCGCGCAAGCATCCAGGAAGGCCTCCATCATCTGCTCCCGTGTCTTTGAGCCCGGCGCCGCGAGACGTTCCCCAGTTCCCGCTCTCTCTGCGAGCGGGCGCGTGAAGGTGACCAGCCAGACGCTTGTCTTCGCGTTTTGCTCGGCCTCCTCGTCGAGCGAGAGGGGCTCGGGGAGGCTGTCCTGGGGCGTTGTCTTCTGGCGCACCCGCTGGGCAGGTGGCCCCGCCGGGCCGACGGCTGGGCCAGCGGCCGCGGCCGCCATGTCTGCCTGGCGCGCGGCGGGCCCCAGGCGCGCTCGGGATTGAGCCGACGTCAGCGGGCGGCGGCGGCGACAGCACGGCGCGGCGGCGTCGAGCGCGCAGGCCCGCCTCCTCGCACGTGCAAGGGTGAGGGGGCCTCTTGGGGCCTGCTCGGCGCCTTTCGAATGCCTCTTGGGATCCCCTGGGGGCCTCGCGTGGGCGTCTGGGGGCCGAGGGCTAGAAATTGAAGGCTTCTTCAACCGCCGTGGCTCCCTCTGGAGCCTGTCTGGGTACCCTCTGAGGCCGTCTTGTGCGCCTCTTGGGCCGTCTTGGGGCGGTCTTGTGGGCAGTATTCGAGGCCCGCTTGGAAGCTTCTGAAGCCCTGAGCCGGTCTTGCGGGCCGTCTTGTGCGCCTCTGAAGCCGTCTTGGGGCGGTCTTGTGGGCCTCTTGGGGCCGTCTTGGGGCGGCCTTCGCGGCCCTTACACGGTTCGCTATCGCAAATCGAATGGCCCTCCGCTTTCCCTTGCCCCTGGACAGCCCCCGCGCAGTCCCCGCGCAGTCCCCGCGCAGTCCCTGCGCAGTCCCCGATGGAAATTTACACAGCCCCCGCTGTTTATTGATCTTCAGGATATGGAGAGATAATCCATTCCCTTTAAAGATCAATTAACAGCGGGGACTGTGTAAATTTCCATCGGGGACTGCGCGGGGACTGCGCGGGACGCGCGGGGACTGTGCGGGGGACTGTGCGGGGACTGTCCAGGGGACTGTCCAGGATAGGGGGTGTCGCTCACGGGGCTGCATGCCCCCCCCCCCCCCCCGCCACCCCCCACCCACCCACCCCGCCCCGCGCCCAACCACAGACACGCGCGCGCACGCACGCACGCACGCACGCACGCGCGCACACGCACACACACACACACACACACACACACCCTGCATTGCATCGCTGGCTGTCTGGTTGGTTGCCTTGTTTGGCAAGAAAAGCGCGCGTCTACGTTGCAAGCGGGTGCAGACAAGTGACGCAACTATGAGCTGGATGTTAGATGGCATGTATTCCAAGTTTCCCAACGTACGCACCGCGGTTGTCAAGCGCCAGATGCCTCCCAGGCGTTGGACGGAACCTGAACGCATCCAGACAATTCAGCCCGAAACGGTACAGTGGCAAATTGTTGCGCCACTCCGGACTTGTTAAAAACAGGAGGTGGTAGCGGTGGCGGCGCGCGCTCTTGCGACAAGCTGCTCGGCCCCGCGCTGGCAGGGGGCGGGCCAAACCAATAGGAATGGCCCCCGCAAAATGCCCGAAGAGAAAACTGGCGCGCCCGAGCGCGCAGTCGAGGTCTAACCCTCGATCTGGCCCCCTTGGGCCTCAAGCAAGAGCTGGCAGCGCTTCTTCATGCCGCCGATGCTCTTGCGGATCAAGTCCGAAGGGGTGGGCTTGGCCGTGCGCTTGAGGCGCCGAATGAACGCGACGCGGGTCTCGCGCTTGCCCGTCGGGAACGCGCGCTCCCGCGCGCGCATGCGCGAGTTGACCTCGCGCCACAACCAGTAGTCGCACACGTTGAGCTGAGGGCTGTGAGCAGGAATCTCAAAGGCCTGGATTCCAGCGCGCTGCTTGGCGGCGACGCCCTTGGTGGCCTTGAAGCCAGAGGGGTCGTTGTCCTCGAGGACGCGGAAGCGCTTCGTCCCTGGGTACTCCGCCTTGAGCGCTTCGAGGATGGGGCCCTCGTAGATGCGCGCGGCCTCCGAAGCATTCCAGTTCCCCTGGATCTCCTCCCACACCAGCACCTTCCCATTGCCCACGCCAGCCAAAATGTGCACCCCCTTCGCGCCCGTGTTGTACTTCAACTTCGGGTTCGGCTTGACATAGCCTGCGTTGAGGCCTTCGCCTGGGCGGCGGATGGCGCCCCGCGTGTCAGACTGGGCCACGTGGCGACGGGCCTTGCCCGTGAGCAGGACGGGGAATAACTTCACGTCAATGTGCATGTGCACGTGCCCCTGCCGCCAAGACGCAGTTTTCTTCGCGTACTTCTCCCCGGACTCGAGGCGGTTCTGGATGTCCTGCTCAGTCAGCAAAGGCTTGTGGCGCATGCTGTAGAAACGGTGCCCCTTCTCGCGCAGCCTGCTCGCAATCGTGGCCTGAGAGGCTTTGCAGCGAGAGCTGGTCTTGAGCATGTTCCACGTCACCTCGTACTCCCCGTTGGCCTTTTTGATCAATCTCTCCAGGTGGTTGATGAGATTTGCCACTTGGGCCTCGCTGAGCATGTTCTTGCGGCCCGTGGTCTTTTTCTCGACGTTGTCCTTGATGAGGCGGGTGATCGAGGACTTGTCGCGGTGGAGATGTGCCGGCATGTCACTGGGAACCATATCGTCGTTGGTAAACCACTCCCGGGCCAAACGGATTTCCTCCTCGGTCATCGGTGCCCCCGGCATGGCTGGGGGACGGCACCAGCGGCCCGGGGCCCTCCGAAGCAGGGCGGGGCGGGGCTGCGCGCGCTGATGTGGGCGAGCCGAAGGCTGCGTCAAAAGAACAGTGGCATCCATGAATGCGCAACCCATGGAGGGCATCCGAAAGGAGGTTCCCCGCGCAGCAAACCGTGTCTATGGAATGAGGTGGATGACCGAAGGCCCGAACCGTGTGTCCTCGGGATCCCCTGGTGGAGGGTTTGGTTACTCGTGCGTGCGAAAGACGCCACCGTGGAATGCCGCGCAATACGAAGGCAATGCCATGCGGGTGCAAATTCATGCGGTCGCAACGCCATGCAATACAAAGGCAATGCCATGCCATTGCAATTTAATGCGATTGCAATGCCACGCAATGCGAAGACAATGCAAGTCGATTGGAACAAAGTAGCAACGAAACGCGATGCGACTGCATTGCAATGCTCCTCCTCGTCCTCGTCGTCCTGTTCCTCCTCCTCTTCCTCTACTCCTCTCCTCCTCCTCCTCCTCCTCCCCCCTCCTCCTTTCTCCTCCTCCCCCTCCTCCTCTTTCTTCTCCTCCTCCTCCTCCTCCTCCTCCTCCTCCTCCGTCCTGCTCCTCCCTCCTTCCTCCTCCCTCCTCCTACTCCTCCTCCTCCCCCTCCTTTTCCCCCCTCCATTACTCCCCCACACTTTGCCCCTCCCCCCCCCCCCACCACTCTTTTTTTTCCAACCCCCCCAACCTCTCCTCATCCTTCTGATGCTCCCCCTCTTCCTCCGGCTTCTCTGCTCTGGCACCCGCCCTCCTCTCCACGTATTCCTTTTCTTTTTTTCTTTCTCCCTTCCTCCTCCTGCCTCTTCCTCCTCCTTCCTCCTTCTCCTCCTCAGCGTCCTCCCCTTCCTCTACTCCACCCTCCTCATCCTTCTGCTGCTCACCTCATTCCCTCCCGATTCTCCGGCACGGGCATCCGCCCTCGCTCTCCTTCGTCTTTTTCCTGTTCCTCCTCCTCCCCCCACCTCCTCCTCCTTCTCACGCTCTGCCTCCTGCCAAGGCTGCCTGTGCTGCTCCTCTCCTACCCCCCCCCCTCCTGCCTCCTTCCTCACTCTCTTCCTCCTCCTCCTCATCCATCCTCCTCCCCTCATCCTCCTCCTCGTCCTCCTAGTCCTCGTCCTCCTGCTCATCTCCTCAACTTCTCCTCCTCGTCCTCCTCCTCCTCTTCCGAATCGTCCGAACACACATCCGAATCCTCATGAGCTCCTGCGAATCCTCATTTTTTTTTTACCCCCCCCAATCCCCCGCCTCATCATCGTCATCGTCCTCCTTTCCATCGTCTTCCTCATATCTCTCATCCTCCTCCTCCTCCTCCTCCTCCTCCTCCTCCTCCTCCTCCTCCTCTACCTCCACCCCTGCTCCTCTCCGTCCTCCTCCTCCTCCTCCTCCTCCTCATTATCCTCCCTGCTGTCCTTGTCATCAGAACTTCTCCTGGTTCGCTGCGCGCTGTGACATCCGCCCTCATGGTTTCCCCCGCGTGGTCAGCGCGTCTAGTTTCGAAGGAAGGGCAACCGAAGACATCAAACATACAGAGTCCCAAACGGTACATCGACAAAATGTTTCACCACCTGGTGTTGTCAAAAAAGCAAGCCGATTTTGCAATGGATGTTCGCTCCCCCCCCCCAATCTTAACATTGCCTGCGGCCCCGGGTTCATCGAAACGGCTCGGTGGTGCAACATTCTGTCGCGAGCCCTGAGGGGGGCGCCAAGGGACCTTTGCCATGTGCCCAATATTAAGATCAGGTGGAGGGGGGGGGGGAGGAGCAATGCAATGCAGCTGACAATGCGCGGCAAAAGTTGTGCAACATTTCGTCGACGTACGTTAGGGGGTGCGCAGGGCGTGGTCCCTGAGCGCGGCCGCTATCCGTGCCAGTCGCCCAGGCATAGCAGGCGTGGCACTTTCTCGGCACCATAGGGGGTGCGCAGGGGGTGGTCCGTGAGCGCGGCCGCTATCCGTGCCAGTCGTCCAGGCATAGCAGGCGTGGCCCTTTTTCGACACCATAGGGGGTGCGCAGGGGGTGGTCCCTGAGCGCGGCCGTTATCCGTGCCAGTCGTCCAGGCATAGCAGGCGTGGCACTTTCTCGACACCAGAGGGGGTGCGCAGGGGGTGGTCCCCGAGCGCGGCCTCTATCCGTGCCGGTCGTCCAGGCATAGCAGGTGTGGCACTTTCTCGACACCATAGGGGCTGGGGCGGCCTTGGGTCACTGAGCGCGTGCCGCTGCCCGTTTTGTCAGGTCCAGGCATCGCAGGCGTGGCACTTTCTCGACACAATAGGGGGTGCGCAGGGGGTGGCCCCCGAGCGCGGCCCCTATCCGTGCCAGTCGTCCAGGCATAGCAGGCGTGGCACTTTCTCGACACCATAGGGGGTGCGCAGGGGGTGGTCCCTGAGCGCCGCCGCTATCCGTGCCAGTCGCCCAGGCATAGCAAGCGTGGCACTTTCTCCACACCATAGGGGGTGCGCAGGGGGTGGTCCCTGAGCGCGGCCGCTATCCGTGCCAGTCGCCCAGGCAAAGCAGGCGTGGCATTTTCTCGACACCATAGAGGGTGAGCAGG